AAATGTCCACTGCTTTTCTTTATATGTAAACTGTGCTGTACAACTTAAGTGCTGCTTAGGCAACTACCCATAATTGTTATACCAGATATAAATATCTAAATATTATTTTTTCTCTACTGTGCAATTTCAGTAACAGTATATTCTTCACCTTCAAAGTCTTTAGGGTGCTAATATGACTTTACTGCTCAGACTATGGTTAAGGGTCACAGTTGTGGGAGTTAGCATGCACTGCTGGGAACAAGTCTTGTGCTGTAATCCCTTATCTTGGCATGGATCCTTTCTGTGGCCTTTGGCGTGCCATTTGCTATCCACTAGGACATGATCTCCTGCTTTGTAACATGTGGAAGTAGTACCTCCTTCTTTGCTGAAAAGCATAGCATTTATTAATAATTCTTTTAAAAATTTTCAAGAAAGTTGTAGGAAATACTGTACATTACTGTGCAAGCCATGACTCCTAACTACCACTAAGAAGGTTATGCAGCACTGAAAAAAAAAAAAAAAAAAAAAAAAGGCTGCAAAGGTGTCCTTGGAAATCTTTTGATTCACAACCAGGGAAGAGTCAGGCCAATTTCCTAGCTGCTGGTAGATCTATGGGGCTGATGGAGTAGCCAGGAAATAACAGGATACATGGAAGTTCTCTAGGTCATGCTGATGGTCACACTCTCTCCTGGCGGCAAGACAGGAGTGCTGTACACATCCTTGGCCTGATTCAAAGAGAGCTGAGCCAGGAGACTCCCACTGATTGAGTTATGGAGACTTTATGGGCTTCTCAACAGGTTTATTCTTATCATTAAGAATCCTCAAATTAATTCCAAAATAAGATTGGAGCTCCAAAATAAGATTTGGAGCTACTTGGACAAGGTCTTTAAGCTTATTTGGGTAGAGAAACAAACTTCTAAATATTAAGAAAACTCTCCATCTTTGTCTTGAAGATCTAGTACTGTTTTAGACCCTCCTTAGAAAAGTCCAAATTGGGAATCCAAGTCAAGGCATGACACAGTGAAGATAAACTTAGAAGATAACACACCCCAAYACCTCCATTGTCAACCATCATGAGGTGTGGTCTTGGCCACAGAATCCTCTATCTTAGCTGCAGTTCTTATAGTGTTCAGAGAATTGAAAGTAATCCAAAATATGTGAGTAGAATCTTATTTCCAGGAGACTGCAGATAGCTGTCATTTCCTTTATGCTTCATGGCCTCAGATCGGTCTTATTTCTGCAGAAGTCTTTAGCTATTCAGTCCCCAACATGTCATCTTGTTCCACTATTTCCTTTCCTTTGCAAGAGCAGCCTAAAATGAATGGCCATTTCTCCCATTTGTCATTTTGAGGTTCTGAGTTTCCTTTTCCCTGAAGTACTGATAAATTATTCCCACCTCCACTAAGAATACCCAAATTTATAATAGCAGCTGGCTTGCATTTCTAGGCTGCTGTGTACTACCCTGGAGAAACTATCTATATGACCACACAGGATCACAGGATCACAGAAAGCTTAAGGTTGGAAGGGACCTCTAGAGAGCATCTAGCCCAACCCCCCTGCACATGCAGGGACACCCAGAGCACAGGGCACAGGGTTGCATCCAAGCGGGTTTTAAAGATCTTCAGAGAAGGAGACTCCACAACTTCTCTGGGCAGCCTGTTCCATGTCATCTTCAATSCCAAATGCACAGAAACGCTGCACTGATTTTCTTCTCTACTGTTTTATGGTATTCATCAGAGCACTTCCACCCTTCAGGTTTACAAAATATATTTTTTTACCCCCTGTGACTTATTTACCTCTTCAAATTCCATTTGCTTCAGCTTCATTTTATTATAACACTAGGTTTCCTTTGCTTCATACAGCACTAGATAACTAGTAATTGCCCCCCTATCCCTACTCCTTCACCTTGGTGCTGCCTCCTTTCATCCCCCTCTCTGCAGCCTTGATGTCGCTGGCTTGAGCAGCACTGGCATAACACCCATATTTATCAACTCAGCAGAGGTGATTAGCCCCCATTTCACAGAGCTGGGCGTCACCTTTAATGTTAGCATATCTCATTAGAAAGGCATGCCCTACCAGCTGGAGTGAGCGCCTAGAATCCTTCCAAGTTCAGTAAATAATGAATGGGAAGGAGTACATTTCTGTGTCTGAGCTCTCACCTTTTGAATATGGACTTAGTTATGCCCACAAGACGAAWGAGGGCTGTGCAGCATCCTAAGAACATAAYTGCAGCAGAATTCAGACACTGTTRAAAACATTACTCTTCCTTTGTGCACCCTGCCTTAGATTAAAGAGAAATGTTTCTCTAGGCCTTATCCAACCAGGGACTTCAACTCCTCATGGAAAACAGAATCCATAATCTAGACGATATATTGTCATTTTTACCTAGTTACTCTTGCCTTTTTGTGAGATGGAACCCAAAAAATCTCAGTAATGTTGCTTTCTCTCATGACAGACACCCTTAGATTGTGTTTTGGAGTGTGTTGCCCTGTTATCACAGCAAGATTTTATACCTCGATCAGATCCACAATAAAAAAAACAAAAAAGTCATTCTTTCTTTTTTTTCCATTCTTTGCCTATCATCCTTTCCAATCCTGTCTGTTYAGAGTAACCTCTGAACTCTTGAAACCTGTGAAGTAAAATGTAGCATAGTGGATCCTTAGATTAGCTAGGACTGTCAATACTCTTCTAAGTCAACATTTTCAAACTTCATCTTTGGCTCTCATGCAAGGGCAACACTTTTCTAAAATCCCCTGAAGTGCTTTCCAGTGACCCAAACTAGCTGGCTTAGCTATAGCAGAAAGCTATACTGATATATTGAGGTAGTTTCCAATAGATATAAAGATGCGCTCAGGTAGTTTCAAAATCTGGCTTTCCTGTCTAGCCTGTATCTTAAGCCTTGCACCCTAGTTCAAGCTAAGTCCAGCATGCAAGCAGCAATTTAGCCAGGAGCCATGGACCAATGACTTAAGAAATACTCATAGGCTGACTAGAGTGCTCCTTCTCACCATGCCAAAAGGGAGATAAGCACAAATTGAGATAGGCTAATGTAACTGCTCTGACGTTACTAAGAGAGAAATGCCCACCTTGAATACTCATGCCTGCGAGCCCTGTGAGGTTCTGTGTTTCTAGAATAATTTTGCAAACCAGGTTTGAACCTCAGGCTTGTCTCAACACGCCACTCAAGCTTTTATTTGGTCAAATATCATTGTTATTTGGCAAACACAGCTAGATATTGTACTTTCATCGGACATTTTTCTATTCCTTGTTTTCCGATTGTTCAGGTTCCCATTGCTAAATAAGTAACTAGAAAGTAAGTCCTGTAACATTCTGTCCTCCGCATGAACTTCTCAAAATTGTTTAAATTTTACCATCCCAGAATTTGACAAACATATGCCTACAGACAAGCTGGGGATTTCCATTTGTACAGTAATAGATTTTGGCTGGTGAAAGGGCAGCCAACTGCCAACAGCCAAACCTCTGACCTTTGGATGGTCCTTTAGCATGGCAATATCTGTGCAGAATATAAACAGAGTAGATGAGTGGCTAAAAAAAGATCAAGGCCAAGACAAAGTCATAATTAGACATTCAGCCCCAAATAGCTCCTATTTGGTTTTAGTGATGTTTTGTGATTTTTTGGGTGTGATTTTTTAGTGTTTTTTAGTGATAGTTTAATATAGATACATATAAACATATATATATGTCTATATATTTGTAATCAAACACAYAAACATATATTCACTAGCTTTCGTATGTTTTTGGCTTAAAAATGAAGCTGGCATAAGCTTCATTGAAGGTACTGTACCTACAAAGCAGTTCCACAAATATGAGATAACATAAGGCAGCACTGACACAGAAAGAGTTTGTTTCCCTGTCTCTTCATTCGACTTTGTGTTACACAAGTTTTTGCACAGCCATGTAGTGAGAGAGCTGAAAGATGATGAGGCTTCTCTTGGTTTAGTTTTAATGTAAGTTAATTCCCTAATTAATTTCACCATGTGGGTTCATAACTGTTTAGCTAAAGAGAATTTGAGTGGAGGAGGAGTGCGGAATTATTGACCACCACTCCTTTTCTTTATGAACCTCGAGTACTTTGAGTTAAACACTGGGAAATTTTACTTTCACAAAAAGATGTCTATATTGAAGAAAACTAGATAGTTGAAGTGCTGAATAAGAAGTGCTGAAATTATGGACGTGTTTTGCTCTTCTGAGCAAGTCATGCGTGTATTAGACCAAACACTAGACTGGAGTGTGAAAGGTTTTATGACTGGGTACTGCCCCCAGTGACTCTCGTAGTTCCTAACTCTGTTTTTAGACTCTGTATCACTACATGTACCCTGAGACACACCTGCRAGGCAAGAGGCTGAGCTAGACAGTGAGAAATAGTTTTTGATGAAGCCAATACGACCCATCACTGTGATACAACCTGTCACTACTTTACTGCTTGGACAATGTTCCTCAGGAAAAACCACCACCACTTCAGTGGTGCCCTTTACAAAAGCGGGCAGTGAGAAGACTAGCAACATAGGAAGTAAAGAAACTGCATCACTTGCTTCAGAAAAGTATGCTACGGATGCCTTTTTACATAAAATGACATAAATGTAAGTTGCTTCAAATACTGTAGAAATGAAATATATTTGGCTTCATTTAAGCAAAATACCAAGCCGTTGCGGGGGGAGGAGGGGGGGAACAGCCCTAATACAGTAATGTCTAATTGCTGCCCTTCTTGCAAGGCCACATCCTTTCAGAAATTCAGAACCCTTCTTTGAGGACAGGGCTTCGAGGCAAGAGGTTTCCGACCCCGCGGCCTGCCCTGCACCGTCTCATGAGCCCCGGGTCCGAGGTCGCCAGAGGTTCCCCAAGGGGAAGRGACAAGCAGCCGGCGCCGCGGCCGTTAAGGCGCCCAACGGCTCCCTCGCGCCCCGGCCCCGATCGACCTTCTCGGCGAGCGACTCCTGCCGCCTGCGGCGAGCGTGGTGCGCGTGCGCAGCGCGCCGCTCTCCCGTGGTCCCTGGCGCGCGGCGGCCGGAGCGGAGCGGAGCGGACATGGCGCTGCACGTCCCCAAGGCCCCGGGCTTCGCCCAGATGCTCAAGGAGGGCGCGAAGGTGGGAACGGCGGCGGTTGCTCCCGCGCGCCCCAGGGCCCCTCCTTCCTTGGTGGTGGGGAGGCGGCATGGCGGCGGCGAGGGAGGGAGGGAGGCGGCATGGCGGCACGGGGAAGCTTCTGGAAGGTTCCGCAGGCTGGCGGGGCCGGCGCTCCCTCTCCGGTGGCTACGGGCCCCAGGATCAAGCGTAGTGCTGCCCACCTGCCGGCACTGCTCGCCCTAGGCCGGGGCTGGCGGGGGGCGAGGCCTGGCGCCCGCGGCCTTCTAGAAAACTCTGCCCCCGGCTGGGGCTGGGGAGTCTCCCCTTGGTCACCTTCGAGCTGAGTGGCCAGCACGATGCTCTTTGGGGAGCGTTTGCAGGGAGTGATCAGCTCCTAGAGCTGGAGCCGATCTGTAAAGGCCAGGCTGCTTCCTGGCTGTGTTTCTTGGCTATTCTTCCACTTTTTTCTTTAAAAAAAAGGCACTGCAAAATAAGCAAGTAGCCATCATACAGTTGCATTTAGCATTAAACCAATATAATGATCGTAACTATAATATAATAATATTTTGACAATTATTAAATGCCTGATGGAGTGTTAGATTGAGAAAGCTGGTAGAAAACAAACTTTATTTTTTCTCTGACTGGGGTGGGGGAAATCTAGTTCTAACTGGATGCAAAAGCAGATTAGGCAGGTCAGAAAGCCCTGTTTTTCCTTTCCAGAATCTTTTCTGGAGGCAAGGAATAGCGTATTTCAGAGGGGTAGGGAAGAAACAGAATAGAACAGATCCTGGTTCTTTAAGATTCAAGAACAATGCCAGCTGTATTTTACAAAACAAGTGAGCACTTGACTCCCTAAAGTGCCTGTAATGTGCCCTGTTCTTTAGGCCCTATTTGGAGGGCCTCCTTCATTCCATAAAGCTTTCAGATAGAAGCTGAGTGGATTAGGTTCTCAGTCSCAACTATTTACTGTGTCATTGTGATTCCTTTTTATTTTTTTATTCAAAGTATGAATGTGTGTTTGAATATAGAGTATAGTTGATTGATCTCTGTAGAATACAAAGATGTGAATAAAAAAGTGTATGCTAAAGCAGAATGGACAAAAAACTTGTACTTTTCCAAGCTGATAAYGTTTTCCTGTGTAGCATTATTCAGGACTTGAAGAAGCTGTTTACAGGAACATCCAGGCATGCAAAGAACTTGCTCAAACCACCCGTACAGCTTATGGACCAAATGGTAAATAAATTCTAATATCACTTAATGTTTTTGAGAGAAAATATGATGTTCAAATGCTAATTCCACYTTGAGAAAGAAGCAACTGCTTATTTGTTTCATGAAAAATTGCATTGGACTCTCTGTTGAACTCTAAATACAGTCTTTGTGCTTATAAAGATTGCAGCTTCAGTTTAAGTGACTCTTAAGGTTTTTGTAGTATGATTATTTTTGTACAATTATTGTATCTTTTTTGCTACTGCTTGCTGAAGACCTACAAAATTAGAGGAGAGACGATCATAATTAGCATAACTGTATGGTGTTCTGACAAACATACCAGAAGATATTGCCAGTGTTGTTTAATTATGTAATGTACAAATATCTCTGGAGAGAAGTGGTTTATTCAGACATAAATGATTTCATCTGCAGGTAACATTTCCTAACCTAAATATCTTTAAGGGTCTCTGAAAGCTTGGAAGTACAGCTAATGCTTTAAGGCATAAGGTATACCTGTTCTGATTATGGAAAACTATGGAACACGCTTTTTAAACATTTTTTTTTTTTCCTCCCCTAGGAATGAACAAAATGGTTATTAATCATTTGGAGAAGCTTTTTGTTACAAATGATGCTGCTACCATCTTGAGAGAGCTGGAGGTAAGTTTTCTTCTTTTGGAAGATTTCAGTTAGGCTGAACTGGTGTTTCTCTTTATGTGGAACACTGCAGTTCTGAAAGTTAATAACTGGGATCGTGTCAACTTGCCTAGTGATCTCCATAGGTCATTTTGTAAATGATTTATTTTTTCACTATATTTGAGTGTGTGAAGTAAATGGACCATCTCCAGGTTAGAAATAGACTACTTTGTGAAACAGCGTTAAGCAGTTGCAGGTGTCAAGTAATTGCCTCCTTTATTCTCCTGAACCAGCATAGATTTAGAAAAGTGTTTGTCTAAGCAATATAGTGTTTAGAAAACTGAATGAGAATGTTGTTAATCATCTGACACTGGGACTTGTTGACTGAGAATATGGCAGCTGGAACGTGGAGATACATGGTGGTGGGGTATGGAGTTGTAGCAGCATCCATATGTGAACAGATAGAAGAATTGCAGAAAAAAATGAGCTATCCTGGCTTTTCTCTTACTACCATAGTATTTATATTGCTACATAAATATTTTACTCTGTGTTCAGTGTTTTTCAGTAGAAATAATGTTATAGAATAGTAGCAAGCAAGTACTGCAAAAGTAAAACTGTGTTTATTACATTTTGTAATGTGTCTTGTTTGTATCAGTGTGAGTGGGAAAAAGTGTGTAAGTCACAGTTCTTTCAAAATATCTGTAAACAACTTAATTTCATGAGTGTTTTATCTTACTTTCTGGGATAAGATGATAGGTGCTCTAAAGATATTCAGGGATAATGTATTTTTATTACACTTCCCTGAAAGAGAAAATAATGTCTATGCAGATGGCAAAGCATTAGAATTAACACATAATGTAGTTCTCTGTTCTAAAGTTATGGATATATGAGCTCAGGGTAAAACCATCAGACTACTTTTTTGGTTGCAAAATTTGATTGTGAAGCCACTGCATCTTGTCAAACCAGCAGAAACAAGTAACAAGGATGTGCAAATAATGTTGAAGAATTGTAGTTAAGTTCTGTGAAATTTTCATAGATGCAGTACTTTATTATGGAAATTATCAGTTAATTGTATTTCTGTACTGTGCATTCTTGGTATGATTAAATATAACTTAAATTCAAAGAGCTTGTGCTTGAAGCATGGAAAAGTCTAGAGCTCTAGTCCAAGTGGGGCTAGTTAAATTTATTTTGGCTTAATTTAGCAGCTAAATTAAGATATGCGACTTCTTTCAAAGGTCCAGCATCCTGCTGCAAAAATGATTGTGATGGCTTCCCATATGCAAGAGCAAGAAGTTGGAGATGGAACAAACTTTGTCCTTGTTTTTGCTGGAGTCCTTCTGGAGTTAGCAGAGGACCTTCTGAGAATGGGATTATCTGTGTCAGAGGTGAGTTACAATTAATGATTTGGTGTACCCTGAATCAGACAGTTCTTGGTTCCATTTAATACTGTGTTTCCTTCAAAACTGATTTTTAGATAAAAATCTATGAAGAAGAGTAGCATATTTTACTCTGTGCGATTGCAGCACTTATAAGCTCTTTCCCTTTTTTATATAGTTATATGTTTTATATCCCTTTCTAGAGAAGATATGCACAGTAAGAATGTATAGTGATGTGGAATAGTGAACTTCTATTGCTTGCTATACAGGTGATTGAAGGATATGAAAAGGCTTGCAAGAAAGCCCTAGAAATTCTTCCAGACTTGGTTTGCTGTTCTGCAAAGAATCTTCGAGATGTGGAAGAAGTGGCCTCCTTGCTGYACACCTCAGTGATGAGTAAACAATATGGCAATGAACAGTTTCTGGCCAAACTTATCGCACAGGCTTGTGGTAAGTGGGCGAATGTGGTTGCATTTAGTAAATGGTGTGAGTTGGACATGATGATTTTCGTATAAGATGAAAAGATACGGTTAGTAATAGTTAGTTACAAGATAGAAAAGATAGGATTATCAGATTCAATAGTATTTGTGGCTCAGACAGGTTTGTGTTTTCTAGGAAATGTTTATAGAAGTAGCATGCCACTGCATTGTCTTTTCAGCACAGACAGATCTTTTTCATCACTTTTCATTAGAAAGATGCGTTACACTTCAGAAAAGCTTTTCACTAGCTGCAGACACAGGACAGTGAAAGCAAGAAGTCACTGCATTCCTTATGTTGTCACCATTTCAGTTTGATAAGCAACGTAAATTCTTTTTTATTTTCATACAGTTTCTATTCTTCCTGATTCTGGTCATTTCAATGTCGACAATATCAGAGTGTGCAAAATTGTGGTAAGTTGGATGTAGCTCACTTTACTGTAGAGCTAAGCTCAAAAGTTTAATGGAGTTAATTTTTAGATCTTTGAACTTAGAAACTTCTTTTTCTATTCTAATCTCCGGTCAGTTAGCTTACTTGGTTAAGTTCTGGAAACTGATCCTTGTATTAAAATACTTCAGAGTTCAGGACTTRGTTTCAGGAACGGGACTCATGAATATGGAGAGTTTAAGCTAAATCAGATCTGTTAACTTAATTATGCCCCGRGATATTGATTGCATCTTTGATTTAGAAGCATTCAGATGGCCAGGCATAGGCAGGCTAGAGGGACAGCAACAGTTTAGTCTTGCACCGTTTTTGTCAGTGGAATATTAGGCCTTAATATGGCCCGTAGAATTGCACCAAGTTTACATCTCATGAATTTCCCCAATTTTTTATTCCTGGTTAACAAATATACAAAAGTTTAGCATAGAAGGTGTATGTTACAGGCTGTAATTAATGTTCTCAGAGCACTGAAGCTGTTGAACTGATAAAACACTGTTTAGTCTCCCCTGCTACAATGCAAAGTTAACGGCTACATTCAAATGAATGTAAGGACTGCTTCTTGTTAGGGATAAAGTGGTCAGTAGGGACAGTAGGTGGTCAGTTATGAGGCTTTGCTTTATTTCATCTCTGCTTTCAGGGAGCTGGTATCTCTGCTTCGTCGGTACTGCATGGCATGGTTTTTAAAAAAGAAACTGAAGGAGATGTTACCTCTGTTAAAGATGCAAAGATAGCAGTATATTCTTGCCCTTTTGATGGTATGATAACTGAAACGAAGGTATGTAGAAGCCTCGGATAAGTTTTGTATCTATTTATTTTCATGTGCAGTTCTAAATCTCTTATTTTAGACTTAATCTCTATGAATCAAGAATATTTATAGTTGAGTTACTACTTTTAATCACTTCAGCAGTTTAAAAAAGTTCATAGATATTCTTTGAAATTTATTTTGCTTTATAGTTTACTTGTGAACCAAGTATATGCTAAAATACCCGAAGCTTGGGCTTTTTAAAAAGTGCTAGAATTGTCTTTATTTGACTTTTGCTACTCCATTGCTTTGGAAAGGTATCAATTTGATTAAAAAAAAAAAAAAAAAAGGGTTGAGGTTATGAGTAGGTTGACACTGTCATATAAGTATTTTTTGGGTGTGTTTGTCTGTTACTTTTCTAAGTATGTATGCAGTTAATACTGAGTTGATGATAGCCTATTTGTTTGCTAGGGCACTGTACTTATAAAGAATGCTGAAGAACTGATGAATTTCAGTAAGGGAGAAGAAAATCTGATGGAYGTGCAGGTGAAAGCTATTGCTGATACTGGTGCAAATGTTATAGTAACTGGTGGCAAAGTGGCAGACATGGCACTTCATTATGCCAACAAATACAACCTTATGTTAGTCAGGTAGGTACTAAAACAGTGTAAAACTTTTTATCTGTGAGGTTTATGAAATTTGTTTACCATATTGATTCTTGTCTCTCTAATTACTTTGCAAAGTATTGGTGATCATTGGACTAGTGGAGCAAAACCTGTGCAGTAGTTCAGTTGTGTGCGTAGCCTATGTTCCTTATTTCACCTTTATATGAAAGCTAATTGGAAGGTGACTTGTGTATGTGGCACGGTTGAGCTGGAAAGGCATTTAAATTAACCATTTTAATTCAAGTTAAATGTATATAGAATTTGTGGAGTTGAGGGGGACTGTGTGGCCACAGAGGTTAAGGCCATATCCTAATGGTTCTTCCTGGCCACAGTCTACATGCGGTGCTTTTTCAGTGGTGTGAAATACACATCAGTACATTTCTAATGTAGTGACAGATAGGTATGTAGTAAGTGGGGTAGGAGGAGTGTGTGGGGGGAGTCAATCTTACTTCATTTACAACTGAGATGATTTATATTTGTACATCTGTRAAATACATTTTGCAAAACATCAGAGTTAAATTTTGATGACATCTCTTCCATCTTGTGCAGAGAAGTGGTCCTTCTCTTTTGGAAACTATGCTTGATTGTTGGTGATTCAAAAAACTGAATTTCTGGAAAGGGAGCATGGTRCTATGAACAGGAAGGACTAGAAATAGAATACAGAGGAATGTAAGGATAAATTCAAGTATAAGATTCCTGAAAATATGTGATTATAACTGTGGGAAGGGGAGGGAGAGGAACTAAGAGGAGTTTGTAACTTGATTCCTTAAATTTTGGTATAGTGAATTTACAAAATGTTTCCAAACTGTAGAGTAATAACTTGAATGTGTTAACATTTGTTCTGAAAACTTTTTTTTTTTTTCCCCCAAGGTTGAACTCTAAATGGGATCTGAGGAGACTCTGTAAAACTGTTGGTGCAACAGCCCTCCCCAGACTGGTATGTAGTTTTCACATGAGAATCAGCATAGAGAGAGTTGGTTCTTCTTGTTAAGTGTGTTTTTTTCCCTTTCTAGACTCCCCCTACTCTAGAAGAAATGGGTCACTGTGACAGTGTGTATCTCTCAGAGGTTGGAGATACTCAGGTGGTTGTGTTTAAGCACGGTACGTATGTTCTGTAAAGTCCTAATGCTGCTATTTTGCAAGTAAGATATTTGTGGTTGTTTTACTTCTAACAAACTGAATTCAATAATGGACATGTTCTCCTTAACAGAAAAGGAAGATGGTGCCATATCTACCATACTCATTCGTGGATCTACAGACAACCTGATGGATGATATAGAGCGAGCAGTGGATGATGGAGTAAATACTTTCAAAGTCCTCACCAGAGTAAGTAAAGGGAACAATTCAGGTGCCATAGCAGAGCTAGGGATCAGTTTGTTGGATCAATTGGACAAGTGTCCTGCTTGCTCGACAGTCTTCATTGGGCACAACTGCTGCAAGCAGCTATTTACACGGTGAACTTAGGAGTGTCCTTGGGGTGTAGAGGCTGTTGTGTGGCATGATGCTGCCACCCCTATCAGTACAGTGTGTGTAAGATTGAGGCCAGCGCATACTGCGCTCACACGGACTGGTTCTGAGGCGGGTCTTTGAAGATAAAGTTCACTGCAGCATTTTTTAACAGCAGTCAGGTCTTCGGCTGTTGCCACAAACCCCTTGTTATGTCCCTTGGGAAGCAGACACAGCAGAAGAGCTAGGAGTGCAGTGTTTTGTGGTTTGGTTTGGTTTTGTGGGCTATCCTCACAAACTGACTGGTTTCACAATGTACTTCTAGTTAAAGGATGACAAGATTTACTTCTTCTACATGCTTATGACAGATTTTATTAATAGAATAATTCAGTATTTTCTAATTTTTTTTTTTTGGCTTGTATTTTTTTTCTTCTTTGGGAGAGGGGAGGGGAGAAAGGCAAAGGTTGTATATTTAGAAGATGAAAAGATAGGAAAGTGTAGGAATTTTGTTCTTAGTAAGTCATGAGTTAAAATCATTCTTCAAAAAAGCATTTTATTTTTATGACATGATGAGACTCAGTTTTGGGGATATTACTGTTAAAGCTTATTTGTTTTGAAGTAGTGCTTAACAAGTCTGCAAAGTTTTGTTGTGTTCTTGCTGTTTGAATTTGAAAAGTAAAAACAATTTGCTGCTGTAAGAAGTCTGTGGGATGTTTTGTTCACAGGATAAGCGTCTTGTTCCAGGAGGTGGTGCAACAGAGATTGAATTAGCCAAACAGATCACATCTTATGGAGAGGTACCTTTTTTTTTTTTTTTTTTTTTTTAAATATATATGTGTGTGTGTAAAACAGATTAATTGATATGCATATATATTACTGTATTCTTAATATGCAAAGTGTAATCATGCAGATGTCCCTCTCTACCTTTCTGGTCCTCCTTGTATTCATTGTAAAAAGCTGAACGGTTTTCACCTTCACTTTAGACATGCCCCGGGCTTGACCAGTACGCAATCAAGAAGTTTGCTGAGGCATTTGAGGCCATTCCTCGAGCACTAGCAGAAAACTCTGGAGTGAAGGCTAATGAAGTCATCTCCAAACTTTATGCTGTGCATCAAGAAGGCAACAAAAATGTTGGCTTTGATATTGAGGTAAATAGTCTCACACAGTAGTTGCTCTTCAGAAATGAAGGATTGTGGGTACTGCCCTCAGTATGAAGCATGAAATTATTGGAGCTCTATTGGGCGTAGTCAAGAGGAGTAACTTTTAAAATGATTGTCAGCAGGCAAGTTAAAATCAGTATAGCAGAGTGGCCTTGTGTAGGAGGTGAAATGAAGAATTGAACCAATATGGTGAACAAAAGATTAACAGAAGATTTTCAGTAATTACCTTTTTGTGTTTTGTCTTCCTGCAATGGATTAGGAGTGAAGGGATGTGTGTGTGTTGTCTCTTTTTAAGATGAAAGCAAGATCAGGAAAGTTATGTTTTGTTCCAAACACATAACTTTGAAAACCCAATAACTTCCAACAAGAAGCATGAGAAACCTGAAAACTGCTTTTTCTCCTGTCTGACAGGCTGAAGCTCCTGCTGTGAAGGATATGTTGGAAGCCGGAGTATTAGACACGTACCTTGGAAAATGCTGGGGGATCAAGCTGGCTACTAATGCTGCAGTGACTGTTTTAAGGGTGGATCAGGTAAAGCTTAGAAGCAACGTGGATGCTAAACTGAAACAACTGCTCTAACTTGCAGAATGCTGATGCAAAATACTTGAATGTATTCGAGTATTCATTGATTCAGCATTCATTGATGTTCGCTGTTCTTCTGTTCATGAAAAGTGGTAGCACTCAGACTTGTGTTTTGGAATGGTACAATGTTGCCACTTCATACAAGCACTGTACATGCTATATATGTATATTGTAACACATGCATGTATAGTGTACATTTTTAAGATTTGGTGGTTGACAGCGCTTGATACCATGTTCAAAAAGTTACCTAAACCTTTCTAAGAATGGGGTCAAAAAATCCCATGAAAATCCCATTTAACAGTGGTAATGATCTTACTGAGAAAWGTCTTAGTTTTGAATGATATTTTGTGAAAGTCTAGCAAAAACCTGTCTGCATGTAAAATTTCTGTAGATTATTATGGCAAAAGCGGCAGGCGGTCCAAAAGCCCCTAAACAGCAAGGACACTGGGATAAGGATGACTGGAAAGATGAACCCGAACAATAGTATGCAGGAAGCTCTGTTTCTCCAGCAGAGAAGTATAAGTGTGTGTGAATGCATGTATGAATGTATTGACACGCTGATCTTCTTAAGAGCACACGTGTGACGTTACTGACCTAAGAAATGTAACAGTATTTATTTTTGTTACTGCAAATGAACTTTAAAAATCCCAAACCTGAGCTCTCGCTGAAAGGTGGCCAAGCACAGTTTCAGTGGTGTGTTACTTGTAAGGTCAATGCAGCAAGGGCAACAACTCTGCCTTTAACAACGTGTCACCAGGGGACACTGCTTAAGAAGTGTGATGTTTACAGGCTCAAGAATGTAGAACTCCAATACTAATAATTYTTCTAATGCTTCCTGTAGTGTGCAGCATGTAAACCAGTCACTGGCGAGTTTGGTTGAGTTTTACACTTTCGCTAGACTAACCAAAGTTTAACTTGCATGGAAACATGAGGTAAAAGTTGTGGTTTTACTCCATATTAGGGCTCAGTTTCTGCTGTTTTCAAGGTAAAATACCTCATTTTTATGAATCAGCGGTGTAAGTGCAGAGCCTAGAAACTGCATGGATTTTGTGAATGCTGATGGCAATATATAAGGAGAAAAATCTCATTCTCCCTCTAYCTCTTCTTTCTCCCTGTTACAGATTATCATGGCAAAGCCGGCTGGTGGTCCTAAGCCTCCATCAGGAAAGAAAGACTGGGATGAAGACCAAAATGACTGAACAGCTTAACTGTGGTTCCCAAGTGTCATGGTTGTTTGAGTTTTGTCATGTTTCAGCTAGGGCCTGTTGTCATGAGTTTTCTGCCTTATCTTTTAAGTTATGAGACTTATGTCCAGCAACGTGCGGAACTTTGAATACTTCAATAAATGCACTTGTCCTTATAAATTATGTTGACTATGAGTTTCTTTGAACTAAGCATGAGTAAGTCTGTAAACAGGTGGATTTGTGGGTGGGTGATGTAGAACATGGCAAGGGAGGGCTTTAGGCTTGGGAGGGGAGGTGGCTGAGTTGCCCTTTACATGATAGAGCAACTGGAATGCATGGAGCTCAGCACAGGGGAAGTGCGGAGYGTGTGGATGAGGATTAAAGGGCAGGCCAACAAGGGCGATGCTGTCATGGAAGTTTGCTACAGGCCTCCTGACCAGGAAAGGGAAGTGGATGAGACTTCTACAGGCAGCTGCAAGAAGCCTCCCGATCACAGACTCTCATCCTTATGGAGAACTTCAACCACCCTGATGTCTGCTGGGATAATCACAATCCAGGMAGTTCCTGCAGAACGTTGCAGATAGCTTTTTGATGCAGGTGGTTGATGAGCCAAGGAGGGGCACTGCTGGAGCTGATACTAACAGAGATGGTCTAGCTGGAAATGCGAGGGTTGAGGGCAATCTTGACTGCAGTGACCATGACATGTTTGAATTCATGATCCTGTGAGGAGGAAGCTGGGCAAGAATTAGAATTGTAACCCTGGACTTTTGGAGAGCTAACTAAGACCAGAGCCCTAGAAGGAAAGGGGGCCTAGGAGCACTGGCTGCTATTCAAGCACCACTATCTCCAAGCCTAGCATCTGTGCATTCCTCCAAGAAGTTGAACAAGGCGAGTAGGAGACCTTGGGTAAACTTCATGAGAAAAAAAGATCCATACTGTGGAAGAAGTGTCACACCACATGGGAAGAAGATGGGCCTGTTTAGCCTGGAAAAGAGAAGGTTGAGAGGGGATCTGATTCATGTGTATAAATAGCTGAAGGGGGAATGTAGGGAGGAAGGGGCCAAGCTCTCTTCAGTGGGGGCCAGTGTCAGGTCAAGGGATAATGGGTGCAAGTTGCAACACAGGCAGTTCCATCTCCAGGTGAGGAGGAACTTCTTTACTGTGAGGGTGAGGGAGCCCTGGACCAGGCTGCCCAGGGAGGTTGTGGAGTCTCCTTCTCGGGAGGTCTTCAAAACCCRCCTGATGCCACCCTGTGCCCAATGCTCTAGGTGTGCCTGCTGGAGCAGGAGGGTTGGACTAGATGATCTCTATMGGTCCCTTCCAACCTCAACCATTCTGTGATTCTGTGAATATAGGAACATTGTCAAGGAATGCCAAAACCCACTTGGAATTAGAGTTAGCAAGGGGTGTCAGGGATAGCAGGAATGGTTTCTATAAATACATATAAATCAGCATCAGAGGAAGACTAGGGAAAACATGAGTTGGCTGCTGAATAGGGTGGGTGCCTTGGTGACAGAGGATGCAGGGCCAGCAGAGTTTCTAAATGCCTTCTTTGCTTCTTTATGGCTAAGGSTGGTCCCCATAAACTGCAGAGCCCGGACACAAGAGAGAGGAGCAGGAAAGAGACTTCTGGCTAGTCAAGGAGAACTGGGTTAGGGATTATTTGGGCAAACCGGCCACCCATATATCTATGGGCCCATATGGGATGCACCCAAGAGTGCTGAGGCAACTGGCRGGGGTTATTGCTCAGCCGCTCAAGAGGTCCTGGAGAGCAGGGGAGGTGCCCGAGGACTGGAAGAGAGCCAACATCACTCCAGTCTTCAAAAAGGGCAAGAGGGAGGAGCCGGTCAGCCTCACCTCCGTCCTTGGGAAGATGATAGAGTGATGGAGCAGCTCATCCTAGAGAACATTTCTAGGCATGTGTAAGAAAATAAGGTGATCGGGAGTAATCAGTATGCATTCACCAAAAGGAAGTCATGTTTGATGAACCTGTTTGTTAGCCTTCTATGAAGGGATGACTGGCCAGATGATGAGGAGAGAGTGGTGGATGTTGTCTACCTTGACTTAAGCAAGGCTTTTGACACTGTCTCCCATAATATCCTCATACGGAAGCTCCGGGACAGTGGACTAGACGAGTGCACGGTGCGGTGGATCGAGGGCTGGCTGGATGGCAGAGCTCAGAGGGTGGTGATAAACGGGGCCGGGTCCAGTTGGAGGCCTGTGGCCAGTGGTGTCCCCCCAGGGGTCAGTGCTGGGCCCGGTGCTGTTCAGTTTGTTCATCAATGACCTGGACGAGGGCACGGAGTGCACCCTGAGCACGTTTGCAGATGACACCAAGCTGGGTGGAGTGGCCGACACTCCGGAGGGCTGTGCTGCTATCCAGAGGGACCTGGACAGGCTGGTGAGTTGGGCAGAGAGGAACCTCATGAGGTTCAACAAGGACAAGGGCAGGGTCCTGCACCTGGGCAGGAATAACCCCAGGCACCAGTACAGATTAGGGGTCGACCTGCTGGAAAGCAGCTCCAGGGAGTGGGACCTGGGAGTCCTGGTTGGCACCAAGTTAACCATGAGTCAGCAGTGTGCCCTCGTGGCCAAGAAGGCCAATGGGATCCTGGCCTGCATCAGGAGGAGTGTTGCCAGCAGGTCAAGGGAGGTGATTCTGCCCCTCTGCTCAGCTCTGATGAGGCCGCACCTGGAGTACTGTGTGCAGTTCTGGGCTCCCCAGTATRAGAGGGATGTGGAGCTCCTAGAGAGGGTCCAGCGGAGAGCAACCAAGATGATTAAGGGGCTGAAGCATCTATCGTATGAGGARAGACTGAGTTGGGCCTGTTTAGCTTGGAGAAGACTGAGAGGAGATAGGATCAATCTGTATAAACACCTGAGGTGAGGGTGATASGATGGGACCAAACTTCTTGCTGGTGGCCAGTGACAGGACAAGGGGTAATGGGTGCAAGCTGCAACACATGCAGTTCCATCTCCATGTGAGGAAGAACTTATTTCCTGTGAGGGTGACAGAGCCCTGGCACAGGCTGCCCAGAGAGGCTGTGGAGTCTCCTTCTCTGGAGGTCTTCAAAACCTGCCTGGACGTCACCCTGTGCCCCGTGCTGCAGATGTCCCTGCTGGAGCTGGAGGGTTGGACTAGGTGATCTCTAGAGGTCCCTTCCAACCTCAACCATTCTGTGATTCTGTTGTGAAGGAGGTGGAGTGTAGGCCTGGTGCAGAGAACTTATAATTCCTGGCACCTGTGATCTAGTCTGGGCAGCAGTGTGCTGTGACACTGTGCACCTTAGTCAGAGTATACAAAATCAAATTAGGTAAAAGAATAAGCACAGTACTAGTTCAATGTCTTTGTACAGTTTTGTTACATGCATCTAATTCTTCATCCTTCCACAGTCCCTGTGCTCTCAAAGGCAACAGTGGTTAAATGTATCTCTTGCTGCTAGAGTGAATTAAGCTGCCTTAAAAATAAATAGCGGCTCAGCGAAAGAGAGGCAGAAGTGTCAGGCCTATCATAGAGTGAACTGGAATCCTTTAAAGGCGCATAAGGGGGAAATTGGGAGACCTGTGTTAAGCTCTTTACATGCCCATAAAAATTCTTAYGCCTTTTAAGTCAAAAGGGAGAAGTGCAGTTGAAATTCAAGCTCCATTAATAATTACTASTTTTCTGACTCCTGCCAGCACTATTCCATTTCACAGCCAGAAGGGAGTGGAAGGCTAAATCAAGTCTGGAGCTTTCTTCTGCCTAAATAAGGCTGTCCTGCACCAGCTCCTCTCCTGCTTGCTTTTTATGCTGTTGCTGGTGTGGCTGAAACTTCAACTCAGCAATTTTTCAGAGAGGATTGGCATACCGAATCATCCACRCAGAGACTACTGCTGCTGGCACCTCAAAGGGCAAGAGGAACACATATACGGGCACCTCTCTTCTTAGCAGGTTGGTGGGTGGAAAGAATACACAACTTGAAAGAGGCACGAGGAAGGTGCAGTTCAAGCATGTAGGAACCAGAATTTCACTTGTGTAAATGCTACRTGCAGCCTAGCCTGCAGGGAAGACAACTTTAAACAAAAACTACAACTCCCCTCAGTTTAATTTTTCTTATTCCTGAAACAGAGACTGCCTGAGGTGCTGTTAGTGAAATGAAAAGAGGAATTCAAGTCCTTAAGCTTGTCCAAAATACTCTGTCAAAGAATTCCTAGAGAGTTTGCAACTCGAGTGCTTATGTTCTAGAAATAAAGGGTCAGTGGAAAGAGAGCTAGTGCTGAATGTCTCAGGTCTTAGGAAGAGACAGCATCTTGTCCTTAGAACTACATGCAGATATGTAACTGAGATAATTATATATAGTTCAAGTTTATAGAACCAGTCTCTTTAAAGTGACATCTGCTGACTAAAAGCTATTAGCAGGCAAGAAACATTAAGAAAACAGTGTTTGATTGGACTCACAAGCTATTCTTTAGAAACTCAAGGCTGTAATTTTGAAAAAAACAAAAAGACTTTTATTTAAGAGTAGTGAAAATGCTGGGAAAAAAGTATAAGTTAGTCATTTCATTTGTCAGTATCTAAGAAGCATAAAGCATATTCCTGCGGTTGTACCCGGCAGCTCCGTGGTGTAACAACATGATTTGCAAGTCCATCCCTTCCCTGAGGGAGCTTCAACATGGTTGCAGAGGCAGGAGGGCTGCTCCGCGCCGCTAGAGCAGCCGCTCGTAGAACAGGAGATAGGCCTGTGCGCTCAGCACCTTGGCCGCAGGCACGGCTTGCACGTGGGTATCACTAATATGGAACCACTGCCCTTTTATTGGTTCAGCTCCTAAAGCTGCAGAACAAAATTTAGGASGCAAAAACGTATTAAAACATACAGAAGTAGATATGCCACGGCTCTGCAGTAAGAGCTGATTAAATCCTAACTTAAAGAGCTASTTCATTTCTAACATTCACCTTGAGTCGATTCTCCTCGGAGGACAAGCTCAGAAAGGTGACTGTTGATATTTCTCATTTTGGCATAGGCAGTGTAGTGCCCGGATCTCATGGTGCCGCTGTGTTCCACAACTCCATACAGAGAATACAGCACCTTCGTACTCCCCTTGGCCACGTTCTATAGAAGCAGAAGTGCAGGTTTGTCCCTGAGCTACTGGATTTTAGCAAGGCTAGAATATAAGCTCCTCCATCTTCTCTTTAGTGAAGCACTGAATATTAGTCACCAGACTCATGCAAGTAGCCACAACCACGATCAGTAGGGGACCAGAAAACTAACATATTCATGTGCAAGTTACAAGATAGCCTGTACTAGCATGCAAAATAACTGAAACTTAATAAACATTGGATGAAGGATTCTGCTAAGCAGCCTAATTTTGGAAACATGGTAAAATATGGAAAGGGAGAATCTGCTCCCCTACTTCGCCAGCACTTACTTTACATTTAACTGAGCAGAACGGAGCCAGGTCTAACACCTCTGGAAACTTGATATGCCTGTTAACTTTCCGTAGATTAAATCCAGCCTTAATAGGACATAAAGAAAAAAAAAGCCAGGGTGTTAGAATTCAACATATTTAGAACCATGTTTCTCTCATCATTTACTAGATATTTCCTATCAAAGACCTAGGAATCCTAACAAGACACACAAAATCAGTCCTACAGTATAAGATGGACAAAATGGCTTCTGCCTCCCCTCTCTCCCTGCCTCTTTCCCCAGCTCACTCCAAGCTTCTCTGGCACTGCCCCCTTAAGGTTAGCTCTTTAACTCACTCTTCTGGTACCTTAGCAATGGAAGCAGAAATGGAGAAGAACCCCAGTAAYAACCTAAGTAACTACTGTGAAGGCAGGGTAGTTCCTGCTTCTCAAATGCTGCAGAACTGTAACATGCCAGACAGGCTCCATTCAAACTGCCAGAACTGAAGGAATTTCTACTTCTACCCCATTCAAATTATACACTGGTATCACAAAAAAAAAAAAAAGAAGAAAGATAAAAGGAAATAGAAGTTGTCTTTTCCTCAATTGTGTCATAGTCACTTTGAGTATTTGATTATYCTATATATTTCTATTTACTCTGTARAATTGATTTTCATCTGCTTAAAAGCTCCACCCCTTATTTTTTCAAGCATTTTGACTCAATCAGTTGAATGCTTTAAGTTCAGGGAAAGGCAATACTAATACTGTCTTCCATACCCTTCCATCCCTTTCCTCTTTCTTTCTTGAACCCTAAAGCCCTAGAATAAAAAGATTCCCATAACTTGGAAGCAAGGCTAAGCCACTTTTCCTTTGGTGTCYGCAGGTAAGGCTCAAGCTCCCTGCCTTCCATTCCCCTTTCCCAGCTTCCCCCTAAGGCTTCCCCCTCCTCTCCTGACTCCRCTGTCCCCTTCACTGCATTTGTTTAGCGACGGATCTTACCCTGCCTGCTCTCCAATGGAACAGTCCAAGACCTGCTGCTGGAGCAGCAAGCAATAAATACTTACTTGATAAAGTAAGCAGTAATATCAGCAAATGAATACATTACAATAATATATTCCCCAAAATGGTATTTCCCAAAAACTGGCAGAATCTTCTTTCAGTYAAAGCACACACTACCATAATCATAAAAAAAAAAAAAACCAATGCCTCCCACCCTAAGAAAGAACAGCTTTACAGAAAATTAAAGCATGTTAACACCAGTTCTGTGTTAAGCCAGAACTATACAGCTATTTACACAGTAAGCTGGTACTATATAAGTATGTACTTTAGCAACAACAGCCTGTAAATTACCTGTTGAAATCTCTTTAAATGAAGAGTTAAAATTGGAGGAGCAAAAGAAATAAGCATTTGTTTTTTGGCATTGGTATAAATATACTTCTTTTCACCTAAAGAAAACAAAAAGTATCAATTATTAACATCTAAACAAATGTTAGAGCAAGAAATCAATAGCTTTCAGTATATACAGGATTGCAATGTCACCCGCTCATCTACTAGCACGACTGGGGAACTGAACACTCCCCACTAACAGGATTAGCTGGACAAGAGCTGCCTTCTTGCAGCACCCACGGGCCTAAAGCACTCGGCGGGCACCATGTGCGAGCAGCATCAGAGGGAGCTTTCATCCATGATCTCTACAACTCCCACACTCAGAATCTGTATGGGGCTTTTCGTGGTCTTTTGAGTAAATGTCAACATCCTTCCCTTGCAACTGTTACAGAAATTCTACATTACAGAACAACAAGAAAAGCAATTTGCTAAATAACCGCTCTCTACATTCATCCACACAAGGTTTTAGATTGAAAAACCCTAAACCAAAATTATCCCTTCTTTTCAACCGTCTTTCCATCCTGCAGTATCCTCTACTCAAGCTTATAAACCTAGTACTCTGCTTGCATAAGAACTTTCTGGTGCTAAACTGTGCAAAAGTAACAGATTTTCATGGTCTGTCCTTTAAATATRAAGTTCTACTGATCCATGGTTAGGTTGCAAGCCACACAGCTGCTGCCTCAGGTACATAACCTGCCCACCAACCCAAGCGGCAGATAGGGATGGTTTTAGAGTTTTGCGAGATAATTTGTCGTACTTTTTAAGTTCTTCTTTGGTCCACAATGTCTTTGTGTACAAACATCACAGAGGAGTTTATTGGTCTCACTAAGTTTTTCATTACGGGTAAACTGATACAAGCAGTGATGGATTGAACTTTCTTCTAGGTTCAGGTCTTCCCTGCTTGCAAGAGTACAAAATGCCGTTTCGGGATCTTCAGTCACCACCTCATGAATCTTCGTTGGAACAGTCTGAAGGTCATCTAAAATACTCATATCAGATTCAGTATTGGCACACAACTGTAGTTTTGAAAAGTCAGTAGCAAGCTCCTCATTCTCCTCTTCATCATCATCTTTCAAGGGTACATGGTCAAGGCCATTGACAAACTTTATAGGAGATTCAGAGTCTTCCATAGGGAGATCTGTGTGAGATTCATCTTCCACATGTTCTTGGTCTGGCTCTCCTGTATTTTCAGGCAACACTTGAACATTTGCACTGTTTTGCTGCATACTTAAGTCTCTCTGCGTTAAGCAGGGATCTTCACCATCATTTGCCAATTCCTCTTCTTGCTTCAGGTCAGGTTTTTCAGAGTAAACTTCTGCCTTTATTTCCTCGTTACACTCTGGATCTTCCTCCGATTGCTCAATAGCACAGATGTCTGTCAAATGAAGTACCTTGCCCTGAAGCTTTTGTTGACGACGCTGGTTCTAAAAATCGGAATGCATGATACGTAAGAACAGAAAATTTAAATAGTGTTTAGCATTTTAGACCGTTTCTTATCAAAATCTTTACAGTATGCAGTAGGTGTCAAAGTGGAGCGAGTAAGAGTGCAAAATCTACGAGTTTGAATTGATGAAATCAGATCACTAACTACCTAATGGTAAATTCACTTTAACTGAAACGTAGTTCTTCACCCTTTTTCTTTAAAGTATCTTTAGAATATAGCTAACACTTTCCCTTATATCTTCCTGATCTTTTTTTCACATCTGTATTCCTAAGTTTTACATTACAGGAGAACAGCTATATGATACAACTTAATTCTGCTGCAGACAAGTAACATAAATTCCACATTGCTGTGGTGTTAACTTATTTCTAGCACAGCAGCTTTCAGCAAAACAAGCAACTTCTTAATAGCTGCGACATAGATGCAATTGCTCTGCTCAGATGCAAATTTGCACAAGGAAAAACTGTAACTTACCCTTTTGTCAGTGGTTCTTCTTCTAAATTGAGGAAGTAAACAAAAAATTTTGTTTTACCAGAATTTGCAAATGCTTCATTAATAAAAGAGAAATATTTATCAAAACCAACCTTGGCTTGCTTTTTGGCCTGTTTCTTTGCTTTCTTCTGAAGGTGTTTACTTGTACTAGGGAGTTCATCTCTCTGTTTAACATAACCATCGTTGTTTTTATTTTCATCATCATCTTCAGATTCCCTTTCTTTGTTTTTCTTAATATTTCTTTCATTTGTATTTTTGAATTTCTACAAAAAAATAAACAAACCCTCAGAACAAGCACAAAATTAGTTGTTATTCTGCAGAACAACATAATGGCAATCCAAAAAAAACTGCAGGGACGAGCATGTTATTCAAGGAGTTTTTCAATTCAAGAGGTAACATTTTAGACACTACAGAACAAATCTAACCCAATTATGACAACCTAAAGCCAACCATTCCAACAGATACCTTACTCCAGAGGGAGTAACCAAGTAAAATAAATAAAAAAGTATCAACAAGTAAGGCTAACAGGGTCAAATTATAAGCATGTAAAAGAGCAACATTATCATTGTATTTAACAAATGTAATTAAAATCTCCGAAGACTAACACTTTACAAAACCAGACATACTTTAAATTGAACTACCTGCCCCACATATTGCAATTTTTGCTCATTGMAGAAGACATGATCCCCGCTTTGGCTGAGGAGATTTCATTTTAATCTTTAGTCATTAGTGTTTGCATGAACAGTGCTAACGAAAAATTTGAAAGTGTATACACACAGATTATCAAAATGAAACAGAGAGAACAAGTCTCAACTATTTTGAGTGTCTAGAAATTGATCTATTCTGTTTATTAATTATCGTTCTGACAATATTATCTACTGTTTATTATTGATTGACTCTATTCTAACAACMATTTTTAAGTTTGTCCAATATTCTGAAAGTGTTAATCTTCTCAACAAATAAAAATTGAATGAAAGTAATTAAAATGTAAAGCACTCAAGCATATGATGGGGAACCCATCACTGTCATCTAATTTAATTTAGACATACACTGTGAAGATGAATTCGAAACACTATTCTTTACAACTTGATCTTCTATTGTGCTAAGACAACATTGGAATTTACAAGATAATCTGATTTTGCTTATGGAATAAACTGACAAAGCAGCAAAATCACCAACACACTATCAGCATCTTCCCAAAGACCTCCCATGAGCCACAATTTATAGGAATGATTMTTGAGAAATTCTCGCTCATTTGCACATTTTTGTGCAAATTCAAGACATTGATTTTTAAGAGACACTTTAGAATGATACATATAGCCAATCCCTAATAACCATGTAGTTGAGTAATTTTTATTTTCATACACCAAAACAAGTTTAAAAACAAACAAACAAACAAAAAAAACCCATATAGTTTCTTACCTGATCATCTAGTACTGGAAGTGATAAATCAAGGAAAGACTCATGGACCAAGGACACCTTAAAATAATATTAAATGCATATTAAAGAGTTCTTTTTAAAGTGGCTAGCTTCCTGTTAGCATATATTTAAAAAAAAAAACAACAGCCTTTCTCTGCATTCAACGCATGCATTTACTTGCATGTACAAATATAAAACACAGTTTTAATCTACACTCCTAATCAGCTATCCATGACCTCCAAATCTAGTTGTCACATTACCACAGAAATAAGCAATACATTTTCCACATTGACCAATTTCCTTGTGGCTTAAAACATGTACACTCATCTTAGACTGCAGATACCTATCTTGCAGGTCCTATCAAGGACATCCATCTGGCCAATTGACTAACACTTCATTCTCACAATGAATTATCCTGATAGTGCACTTTTTCTGTAGCTATTTTCCTCGTACCTCCCAGTCATTCCAGTGTGGGAAAGCGGAATAATCTGATGGAAAATGCATGAGGGCCTTAGGCAGCATACTGCCAGTAGCTGAGCAATTCAAGCCCTTTACAATTTGCTGGAAAAGGATCACCAGGAATTCAAGACCATTTTTTTCCAACAGACAGCTTGCTCCCGCAGTCCTTTTCTTTGGAGGCCCTTTGGAAGGGACTAAAAGATGCACTTTAGACTATAAGGGAAGAGAGATTCCAGGCAAACTATGCCTCTCTTTAATAGGTATGCAGCTAGTCAAAACCTAGAAGCGTATTAATTGAACCCATCTTCTTTAATTCCACTTTATTTCTATATATAGTTCCTTTGGGGTTCTTCCACAGATTACAAAAATTATATTTTGGATTATTCAAAGACAGCAGGCTCCTTACTGTTCTGCATTCCTCGCACATAATTGTACTGGTTAATTCTCCACCAAAGATTCGATCGACGAAGCTTCGTATTCCCTTTTTCTTTTCGTATTCTGAGAATTGAAAATAAAATATAAAAGTCAATATTCTATACAATATTTCAGGGATCTACTTGGTTATTGTATACCAAATACATACTGTATCCTCTGTTTYCATAAGATGTTTAATGGAATATGTTAAGACATTTTTATTTTCCCCCTAAAGTACTGCAAGATTCTAAGCTCTGTTAGGGGACTTCAAGGTAATGGAAGTGAAAATACATTCCCAGGAGAAGACTATTTGACTGGACCAACACCTTTACTAATTTCCTAGCTCAAATGCATTTCTTTATTTTCCCAGAAGAAAACTCTTTCTAGGAAGAGCTCCTATTTTTTTCTTTCACAAGATGGTTAAACAATTGAATCTAAAAAAAATGATGTACCAGTACTCATCAAGATAGGTGCTCTACAAACAAAAATAATTTCCTCAATTAATATTCTCAGTATAGCAGATACTTTTGAACTTAATTTTGTTCATCTTTGAGCCTGATTGTTGAAAAGTTTACAAATTCTTCCGTTCAGTGTTTTTTTTTTTTTTAAACACTTACGTAATTATGGACTATTAGGACTGATAAAGTCATTACATTCACGTGTTAATACTTTATTTTTTTTACATGGCATTTGGATGATGAAACATAGCCCAAACATCTTTTAATGTATAGTCACTATGGAATCAGTTCTGTCTTACTCTGTTCAAGAAAGGAGCTCCACCAAGGTCAGTGAAACCTTTTAAAAAACTCTTCAAGATATCCAAGTCATACATTCTAGACACATATTCAAGATATGGCAGTAAGTTGTTTGCTTAAATACACGTCCTTTAGTTGATAATTGCAATGTTACTCTGCGTACTTCAATGAATCTGAAAAGTCTGAACGACTGCAACATTACTAAGTTTATTTTACCTTTAATTTTCTTTTTAAGTTCTTCTTCATTTTGCTTGTTAGAGTCAGTCAGTGCCTTCARTATTCCAGCACTTACTCGCTGAAAGTTTAAAAACAAGTATTTATCATACAATTCCCTAAACTAATTCAGTCCGTTTTAMAAAGAAATCTTTACCATTTAAGAGAACCAGTAGAAAAACAACAAGTGCCTGTAAAGACACAAAATATGTTCTGTTTGGGTATAAAGAAAAAGGGAAAAAAAAAAAAAAGGAAAGGGAAAAACACGCAAAACTCAATCTTTCTACTTAATTTTACTGGAAGAGCATAGGAGAAAAAAAAGAAGAAGAGCACATTTGCACCTCAGAAAAATAAAATCCTCCCAAAATAAAACAAACAATAACAGATGTATTGTTACATATACTCAACGTCCACCTCACAAAGCTCTGAAACAAGCACTCACTTGGATTTCTTCTGCTCTCATTCCATCAAGTAAGTAACGAAGCAGCTCCTGACTGTCTTGCTGTTGATAGCCTTTAAATCGTATTGCTCTGTTAAATGAAAAACAGTTGAAAGGTATAATTCATCTTAATAGTGGTCAGTCATGCTTAAGACTTTGTCCATTATGTTTGCTTTTAATTTTTCTATGAAAGCAATGAGTGTGAGTATATAGAAGCTTCCAAAAATATGAAGTAGTTCTCACTAGGCTTCTTTCATTTTATTCATTTTATTCATTTTATTCATTTTATTCATTTATATTTGTCCCTTACTCTATTCTTTCAAAACTTAATAACAATTATACAATTACTGTGATGTAAACTCAATAAAATTAAAAAAAAAATGCCCTTCTTTTCAAAAACATAGAAAGTTCTTTTGTTTGTTTGTTTGTTTGTTTGTTTGTTACTATGCTGGGCAATTGAACAGATACTCACTTTTTACAAACCTGAGCAAAAAGTTCCTTAGGCGTGACTATTCCTTTCTTTGTCTCTTGCATTTCTGTCAGGAACTGATACATGGCTAATGTCAGAGGACCAGGCTGATCCAGCCGTATCAGCTGAGGTTCCTGTTTTAAACAGAAGAACATCGTTGCACTTTACATTGGTGAGAGATCTATCTGTGARTATTTTTTTTTTCCTAAAACTCAATTCTTCAGTTCTTGAAAACATTCTTATAAAACAGGATACACAAAATCCCTAAATAGCAGTAAGTTAACCTGACAAAAACAACCCAAAAAAATTTTTTTTCATAATACAGAATCAAAACACTTAGCTAAGGATCTAAGGATCAGTAATTACTTATTGCTTAAATTTACCACATTGCTCATTTTACCACATTGCTCATATATTTTGCTTATGTAACTTCAACTCTGGATTTCCTAGATTTATCATTTTATCAAAAAAATGTAACTTCTTAAAATGAACAACCCTTCTTTCCTAGCCAAATTCTGATTTTCATGATAAATATAATATCTAAAAGTTAACACTAGAGACATGTTCCAGTTTATTAGTATGAATTTAGACAAACGACAACATGCCCAAAGTAACAGTTTTATCCTTTATATCCCTTAAATACTTAGTTATGGTGTATTTACTTCTGACAACAACTAATGCACATAGTATCAAATCAGTGCTCTCCCACTTTCAATGAAGTCAATGGTGAAGTCCTTACTGAATTTACATCTTATTCTTGTTAGCTTTTAACTGATTTCAAAAATCTAGAGAGGAAAGTACTGCTTATACTTTAACATACTTAAAGAAAAAAAAAAGTCACTATGGTAGCATATATACCATGGAGAACTCAGGCGGTTCTATTTTAATAGTTGCATCAGACATTTTAGCTTCTTTAAGCAGCTCCCTCAGGGCTGGAGTTTGTGATAAATTCTGAAGAAGAAAGAAAAAGTTTGGTAACTGTGGCACAAGCAGAAAGTCAGAGTACTTCCACTTAYACATTTTCTGGAAATCATATTAGCAGCAGATTAGTTTCTTCCAAAAACCAGTATGACGAGGTTTACAAAACTTAACTGTTAGAGACATACAAGAATCCTCACCATAYGTGACGTTAGACTGCAACAATCCTACATGTACCATCCTTCTACAGACTGACCTTTTGATCCAGTCTATTTACTAATACCTATTTCCAAACCAAGAAGTAGCATGCAGTAAATCTATTTCTTTTGATTAAAGCATAGTACACATTATCAAACATCTTGCTAAACTCTCTAAGTGGGAAATTTGCTTGAATAAAAAGTGAATATAAAGGCCYAAAGAGCACAAGATTCCATGTAAGACTTAAAACATACAGAAGGGTGAGTTCCTTCTATCTAAACATTTACTAGCTGAGGCAGAYGGACAAGATGGCAATGTATTACATGCGTCCAGTTAACATTTAGCTGTACTTGATTTCTTGCTGCTGAGAAAGGGATTTTTATTTCAACGAGCAGCGGTCTTTGAGTATTAATCTCTCATATTCTAAGAAGTCAGCAAGAGTGATGTACCAGGCCATGTTTTTATTTACTAAATTAGGCAGTTGGCACACTCGGATGCGGTCCCTCAAAAATAAGGCAATTGGTTGCATCTTCTCTTAGTACAAGTCAGAACCTGCAGCCTCACTGCTCCACATTCCTCTGGGCCAACTCCGTATTTTTAGCACGAACCTGTCATTCTTGGCAGATAAAAATGCATTCCAGTTGTGTAGCTGTACAGTATGGTATGTTTAAAACTTTTTTTTTCTGCTATTGCTTCTTGCTGCATTTTTTTAATTTAAAAAAGCAGTAACAACCATCATACCTGCATTACTGCATTAAAGAAACATGTATTCCCCAAGTTACTAAGTCCTTTCACAGTCACTTCTGAATTGGTACTTGAGTGAGAATTCTCTTCTTTGAGCGAGACTTCTTTTTCTTGCTCATTTCTGTTGTCTTTTATTATTTTTTTATTTTCAAGTTGTTTGCTTTCCTCTTGTTTTTTAACTGAAATAACAAAAAGCATACCATATATTAATCCAGTTAGTAGGAATTGGGCTAGGAAAAAACTTATTATAGACAGCAGAAGTCTTCAAACTTTTAAATKTAAACACACAATTAGAAAATCAGCATAAATCAAAAAACTACTATTTAAGGTTTTTAAAACTGTCAGGAGGTATGATTAACAGAAAAGAAACAAAAAAAAACACAAAAAATGTGAAATTCTGTTTCAGATTAGCGTATGATTGAAACAGACTATGCAGCCAACAAGTCATTCATGCCAACAATCCTTGAAACTCAGTATGTGTTATTTGAAATTTCATTCCAGTTAGAGCATCGTCTACATTAGGGCTTTCCATAACATCCATCAGGGCGGCATCTGAGATAACACCCTGTGTAACACAGCACTCTTGCGCGGAACGAAACGCAACAAAATTCTMCCACTCTCCAAGCCATCTTAGGCTCATTTCATTAATGTAAAAGGCAGAAACCAGGAAGCTTCCATTCTTCAATAGCTATCAAGAAAATTTCTCCAAAATTACCTCTGTGTTTAGCTCAAAGTTTCACTGACTTGTTTAACAAAACTGTAAGGTAGCACCAGGGGCTTTTCAGAGTAATTCCTGTACTAGTTCTGCCAGTGTACCAGGCTTCTAACAAAGTTCTTACCAAGTGCAGGCCAATATTAACTTCAAAGCACAGAAACACCAGCTTAGGAAAAGAAGCAGGATGATACACCATTTTCAGATAGAAAAAAAAAGCAAGGACAACAGATGGAAGACCTGGAACAGGCAACTTGTGYACCCAGGTATTCATCCAGTTCCAGTTCAAACTTGAACAAATATTGTGCAATATGAAGCTCAAATATTAAGCATACAGAAAAGGAAAGACTAAGCAAAAGTCATCAAAGACTAAGCAAAAGAGATCAAAGAGCATGGTCCCTTGTCAGAAACGCTCAGCTTCTTCTTGAAGAAATACTTGAAGACAACTACTGGGAATTGCTAAGTGGTTGCTTTTTCCCAAAAGGAATGTGATTTTACTGTAGATTGTTGCTGGATTTTTTGATAACTATTACTTATTCTGATATGCACATTCTTCTAATTCTTGCAATGGAAATGCTACGTAGATTAACAATTTTGCGGGGAACTGTTGTGGATTTTTTTTTCAAATAAATGAAAAAATTGCAGGTAGATTGCAGGCTGAAAACACTGTTTCAGAGTGCTGAATGCACAGGAGCCACATACGTCAAACGCATGGATTCAGAAGACAGATTTTCCTGCACTTCCATTAGAAAACGTCCTGCTGAGTTGCAATAGCCGGGGACCTAATCGCTTCAGCTCATGTATTCAAGAATGACTGAAGAAATACTTAGAAATTCAAAATAACAACAACAAAAGCCCAAAATAAATTAGAGAAAGAAAATCACACTATCCTTAAGCAAGCAAATTTTAAGTTTTCCCTCAAATCATAAGACAGACTGAGTCTTGATAAGTAATTGTGATATTGATAGCGGATTCCTTATTTGCACAACAATCTATCACCATTCCCACATTCCCTCTCCCATTACAAATCTTTTATTAAGACTGTATCTTTTAATTCCCATTCCTGTATTTTTTTCTGACAAGTTTTGGGGATACAGATTTAACTGGTGAGCTAGGAAGCTACTTACATTTTCAGAATGCTGACAACAATGTAAAGATAGAAATTAGCCTTTTATTCTAACATAAGAAGCTCCAGCAGTTAAATCTCATTTAGCATATAGTCTTGATTTAAAGTACTGTTTGCTGCATTCAAGGTGCYTTCCTGTTTCCTGTGTGTATACTACAGTGGCTTACCTGTACGTGACGTATTAACGCAAACTTGTTTTCTAACATAATCCACAGTCTGGCCCAGTCGGGTTGAGGTACTGTATGGAACTTCATTATCACACACGTAGCACCTGTCTCCGCCCCAAACCAAAAAGGAAAAACAATTAATTCTAATTCTTAAATAGTTAAAATTGTACATTATTTGCTGGCTTGATGCAGGTCATAACACAAAGTTACGCGTTTTCTTTTTAGCATTTAGAAGTTTTTATAGAAGAGTTTAATTTATTGCTGATTACTATAATAAAGAGTTAAAATTATGTTCATTAGGTAACCTCAGTAATTGGAGGAGGCAATTTAAAAACATGATTTAGATGCCTAGATGCACTTAGATATCTAGGTGGCAAACATAATAAGTACAGGGAAAATTTTGCTAAAATAAAGAAAGTGAAGTATCAGGCCCTAAAGGAAATGACTCATCAATCTTAGGACTAAAAATAATTGGAGAATTCTAACCATCCAAGTATTTTATTATCTTTGAGCTGGACAAGAAACAAATGGCATGCTCTATCAATCAGACATGCTCTTACTTGCTCTTTTGCTGCTGGTACAAATCTATTTCTCTTTATGAGCAAAGATAGAGCACGGTGAGACCACAAAGCTCTTTTAAACAAAACTGCTGGAGAAACTGCACTGAAGGCTGAAATTCTTCCTGTTCACATACAGGATGAGGAGAGTTACACGGATAAATTTTCCAGTTCTGCCTAGTCAGCTCTTTGAAGAGCTCAAGTAAGAACGCAAATATTTCTGCATTTCGAAACATACCAATTACAGTTGTTAGGCACAAATGCATTTAGCAGATTTCAGGATTACCAAGAGTTAGACTATATTTTCTAATCTTGAAAACATTAAAGTTTTTTCCCTCAATCTGTACAATTCTCAGCATTAGTTGTAATTTTCACATTTCCTTACGTCTCCTTGAAAAATCTGCTCTCCTTTCTAGGAATCCTTGGGTATTTATTTATGGCTAATCTATTTAATTTTAAGAATAAACTGATAACAAATGATTGGGACAACAAATGATAGTTAATTCGACAAGTCATTTTTAGCACAAAAACATTCGGTCTGTCAACAAATTTAATAGAACAAGTTTTTGAAGGACTTAGAAGAATTAGAAGAAGTTTTTATTTTTATTTTTTAGTAATGTGTTTGACCAGTGGGGAACTACAAATATATGCAGTAGTATCTGTTGTAAACCTTAATTAGCAGAACACAATGACTTACTAGGGCTATTCTCTTTGTCTCCAAGTTTAGAACAGTTTCTTTTAACTTCTAAAATAATATTTAATTGCAAACTATGGACAGATTCTAAAAATATTCAACTTCATTCATATATCCATTACATAAATAAGTCCTGATTAAGCAGCCTTTGCTTCTATTTAGTAGGCCACAATGAAACGTAGTTCTTAAAGTTTTTGACTCAAAGCAGTAGTTCACACCCAATATCATGTAGTTTTCTAAAGAACTTCATATACAAATTTGCACAACAAAGAAATTCTCATCAAAAGGAAGTAAAATATCCTGCTTAGTCGATTTCTGTTCATTCACAAGTATTTTGATTGAAAAATGACACACAGTTTCAAATAGAAAAAATAAACCATCTCAAAATGGTAACTTTCGCACTAAATTAAAAACAGAGACATTCACTTGTTACTTAATAATAATAAATTAATAAAATGCTTTCCATCCTTACTTTCAATAAAAATGCTGATTATATGCATTTATACACTCGTGCTACATATATGACTACGTAAAAAAACAATGTCATATAAAATAAAACCTTATGACAAAGAGTAATTTTAGAGAAAGGCAATTAAGTAGAATGAAAGCGGTCAGGCACAATACTCCTATTAGGCAGAGTTTAAAATATGAAGGTTTTCCATCTATAATAGGCTATTGTTTTATTGTTTAATATTACTATATCAATAGAATTTGTGTTGATTGGTCCAGTAATATCATGTGATTTTGCAGTTTTGCTTAATTCTAAATATGGAATAAGAAGTCATTGAGAAAATGAAAATAATCAATTTGTTCACTACACATACATCAGAAAGGAGCTTCCACCAACCTTAAATATTTAGACCTGCAAAACAACATGTATTTCCATGTGCATTTTGATTTTACAGAAGCAGTGAGATAGGAAATCCACAATATTCACTAATTTGTTAATTTCAATAATTATGGTAACTTTCTAGCTATAAATTTTACAAGATTTACAAGCAAATCTTAAGGACTGTTGAGATTTTGTGTACGGAAATGCTTATAAATTTCTACAGAACTCCTAGAAATCGTAAATAAACACAAATTATATCCCAACTTCCATTTTCTTCTAGCTATGTCTTAGAGCTGTTGCCTGACAAACTCACCACACACTCCAGTTGTCCAAACTGAGAACCAAACAATGGGGGTCTGATCTTGGCGTTGTGTAATGCTTTAAGGCATGCTGTTCTTGAGAATTTCTGCCACAGCCCTACAATGTTGATAACCAGAAGTGTCACAAAATCCAGTTGACTAGCAACGAAACATACATAAAATCAGAATACAACACAGCTAATCAGATTTAATTTTAAAACTATGTTAAACTAACTAGGATGAACAGTTAGGTCACTATTTCAAGATGCATTTTATGGAGAAAAAAAAAGTAAATTAAGTGAAGAGTAACTATCAAGTTGCTTGGAGGCTGGRCATCTAACTCACATTACAAACTTTGATTTTAACAACCTGAAGAGTTAAACAGAACAAAACCAAAATCCTGTTCAGCATGCACAGTTGTAAGTTTAACAAGCCAATGTCAGCACAGAACTTTATAATGAAAATCCTGAATTAGGATCATAAATAGAAGTATTTATTTTCCTGGTAAAAGAATTCAGACTTTAAGAGGAGAATTAAGTCCTCAAGATGGTGTTTTAGCCCTAAGTCTGCTAAATGCCTTTGTGCCAAGCTTCCAAGTACTGTATTTGCGATTCGGAACAGACATACTTCCCCACGCTGAAGTCTAGCAGCACATCTATCTAGCACCACCTTCAGACTAAAAAGGTAAAATGTAAGGGTTTAATCAGATGCTGTCTTTCTCAGCTATATTATGAGGCACTGAAAGATATTAAGGCAAAACAACAACAAAACAAGAGATACCCTATGGCCACATTTTAAACATAACCATATGGAAGGGCTTTCATCAGTCTCCTCAGGTTCCTCTTGCTTATTGTCTGCCTTGCAGTCCTGGCAGATGTGCCATTCCACATTCAGCAGCGCCTTTTTCAGGTGGGTTTGTTCCAGTCCCTTACGAATGTGTTTGCACACAGGCTCTACAAAACAGAAAGCACAAGGAGGATGTAGATAGCACAAGCATAAGCATCTCAAAAGCACGAGGAACAAGCCAGAAGCTAAGATGACCTGTCTAGAGTCAGAAAGACATATTGGAAGACAGAATCAGGAAGAAATTTCAGTATCCATTCACAAACTGGGGATATCGAGGCATCCTGCACTATCGTATTATTAGAAAAGCACCACTCAAATCTACGTCTAATCCGAGAAGCTGTCAGAGCTTTTGTATAAAGAGCCWGCTATCATGTCAGGCCTGCTAAAGCCATGGACTTCTATTACTGTGGCAATGCAATTCCCACAGACTCTCAAGGAGCAGCCACAGCCCCCTGCCCTGCTCCCCCAGCACCAAGGCAGCACCTGCTGTAAGGGTGGAGGAAAGATCATGCTTCCAGCTGAGTGGCCTCAGTGAAGCTCCGCCACTGACTGTGGCAAAGAACAGCGGCAGGGTCATCACATTTATGTCTTTGTCACCGTGCTAYGTGACAGTCCTACGTCCTAAACAGAGCTGCGTCTTCCTGGTCCTGTGTGAACTGCATCTATTTAACTGACCTTTGCTAGAAAAGGTTAGACTGAGAACTGCAATCACACAGTGCTGCCCTGATTAGAGTTACTCTTAAGGGGTTTTTTTTTTGATTACTCCATCATTTGAGGGCAAAGAGAAACTACCTAAAAGGTTAAATCATTTATGTAGAATTCCTRCTTAAAAGGAAATGTATACCCACACTGATTCAACTTCTGACAAATAACCGGTGCAATTTCTTTTTTTGAATGTATTTTTGTAGAGTGAATTTTATTAAGACATGTGGTATCATCAACTTACAATTTCTGTAGGAAAACAAAACTGTTTTCAGTTACAGGTGTACAAGTTTAAATATGCCAAAGTCAAATATCTGACAGTGTGAATACTCGCATTTAATTTAAGAAGTGCAGAGTAACCCTGTTATTTCTTTTAATATGCTTAAAAAAAAAAATCACTCAGCTGAGATTATAGAGAACATAATAGCTCCAGATTTATCTTTGTTGTATACCATATGCAAGATTACAGTCTCAAAATGGCAGATTTTTCTTGGTGTGAGCTGAAACTAGTGGAAGTTTTGTACTTAGACTCCTAATTCTGGTCTAGATCAGAGATTTTTACCACAGTAAAAACAGTAGTTGAAAAAGCTCAGTAGTGCACTTAGAGTTTAGTTGCACTGTTTAAGCTTTTTTTTTTTTAAAAAAAGGCACAAGCTTCATCCACAGCTTCAAAACTATATTCATTTGTAAATAAAGCTCTCGGATATTTGCTACTATTATACAGTGTAATTAAACCAGACTGATCAATGTGAGTAGCTTCTATATGTGGCTTGATAAATCAGTTTTGAGAAATCCMTAATGCAGCCAACAGAGATGTGAAAAGCCATGAACAGATACGGTAACTCATCTTTTGCTGGGAGAAAAAGAAAACAAACAGAAATAGCGAGGCCGTCTCAACTCTCTGAAACAGACAAATGAGGTGAAACAGCTACCATGAGAAAAAGGACAGAAAAAGCTAACATGAGAAAAGGACAGCCAGGAAAACAAAATAACTAAGTTAGCATGGAGCAAGTTATTTGCCCCATGCAGTATTCAAGATGGGTGACAGGYAAGTGGGTGGCAGAGTATGTGGCCTGGTAGGGAAGGCTGGAGAAGAGAATGTTACACAGTACAAGCAAAAACAACAGCCACAATAACCTGCGTAAACAAGATAGCAGAGCTTCAATGCAGAGATGAGATACTATTTATCAGGGATTTTCTCTGACAGAGCAAAGGAGAAGGAAGAGAAAGACGGATTGAAGGTTTTTTTTTTTTTCTAAAACCAAAAAGCACAAACACTACAGACTTCGAGGAGGTAGAGGTGGAGAACAATGACAACTGAAGGGTCAAGACTGAGTTAGCTGATACTGCAAAAACCAGTGGTTTCTCAGAGATATTTCAATCAGAGTCTTTTATTGTTGAAACACGAATCTTCTAAAAGTATAGAGTCTCCAACAGAAATACATTACTTAAATTTCTCATGACAAACTTAGCAGCTAGCTCTACGAATCCTTTATACAAAGGGAAATCTTAGAGAACTTAAGATATATGTGTCAGTTTTGAYTAGACAGGTTTATTATTTTACAGAAAGTTTAGGAAAGTATCGACAGTAAGACTTCTTGAAACATGGAAGTCCCAATTATATAAAGTCAAAACCCTATAAATGATTCTTCAAAGTCAGTGACTCTTGAAAAGTTCTTCTGATATTAATGAGTTTAAGCCGTCTCCATTGAAGTTAAAAGAAACATTTTTCTTCCTAGGACTAGAGGCTTCTCTGAAGAAACATACCCAGCGTATCCGGAGACTCGTCTGCCTGTGCAGTTTTGCCCTTGGTGCGTTTCTTTCCCATGTCTGTGGTCCGCAATTTTCCTTACACAGAACTGAGACCTAGCAAAGAAAAATGTGAAGTTAGAAACTCAGTTTCAGTTTTAATTGACAGTAGTTTAACAAGAGATTATTTCTATCACCAGTTTGTCTCTTAAATTAACCTGTTTGGATTTTTGAGGAAAGTGGATTACACTTTAACACAAAACAACTGAAATTAGCAGAAGCAAGATCCCTGCATGAATTAGAAGGGTGATGAGAGCAGAGACAGGACCCAAGCTCTTCCTCTGAAAAGCCAGCTACTGCACATATAATGCTTATATCACAAGAGAAGACCATAAAAAAAAAAAATCAGGCCAATTCCAAAATTTATTTTTGCTATCCACAGAAAATAGATAAAGAGCCAGCTATCATGCCAGGCCTGCTCAAGCCATGGGCTTCCTAAAACTAGGAAAGCTGACACCTGCTGATTTGTGTGGTTTTTGCAGGCAGGCCTGACGCTGCTGTCCACACGCCAAGCCAGGTAAATGTGCCAGCAAAGCACTATGTCTGCCTTGCAATATCCACCCTCTAGAACCACTGCTGAGCTCACACCATTTCTTAGTGGCAGGACAGGCACAGCAGCACAGCTTCCTGCCTGGGGCTATTGCCACCAATAAACAAGGCTTGACTAAGAGGATCAGAGAGAAGCTAGGAGTTTTGACAAGAGAGTTTTGACTTTCAGTGTGAGAAACCCTTCCAGGTGGATGCTGTTAAGGGAGGCTGCCAAGCTAGTTTGCAATAGGTAGGCAAATGCTTCATCAGAATTGGAAGGATCTGGCTTAAGAACTTTGCATGCACTCAGATAGTTAAAAAAAAAAAAAAAAAAAAAAAAAAAAAAAAAAAAAAAAAGAAAAAAAAAAGAATTATATATCATGCATTCAGATAAACCTCTTCTCCTTGAAAAACTACAGCAGTTGGTCTCGAGGCCAACCACCAAACACCTGCAGAACCCAACCAGCAGTGCAGGAACTAGTTCAGCTGCTGCTCTCTGCTGCGCCGTGCCCAGATAGACCCGTCCGGCGGGCTCCTCTCGGCGGCGGGGGCGCCCCACGCGCGGCCGTGGGGCCGCTGCGCGCGGGGACGAGCGGCCCGGCCCCGCAGCGCCCCCGGGTCACGCGGGAACGCGCCCTAACGGCGCCCCCGGGCCGCAGCCCGGGCGGCCCCCTCGGCGCCTCCGCGGCGGGGCGGTCCCGGCGCGGCTCCCCCCCGCCCCCCGCCCGCGGGCCGCGCTCACCGCGTCGCGCACGTGGCTCCAGTGCCGCCGCCCGCGCGTGCCAGCCCCGCCGCGCAGCCTACCCTGCTGCACCGCCCCGCCGCCCTCCCATTGGCCGCGCCGCCCGCCTGGGCAACCCCCCCGCCTTTACTGACAGGCGTCGCAGCCAATAAGAGAAGGCGGGCGGCCCGGCCGGAGAGGTGCCTGCCGAGCACCGGGGAAGCGAGTGCCGCGGCAGGACGGCGGCGGCAGSCGGGACGGTGGGAGCGGGAGCTCCAGACCCCTCACCTGCTGCTGCCGCGGGGCGACCGTCTCCGCCACTCATGGCCCCACCTCGGCGGCTTCTCCACGTCCCCCAGCGGTTGAGCAACGGCCGCCTCACGGGTTTCCTGCGCGGTGCATTGTGGGGCGGCGGGACAGAGCGAATAGGATGAGCGGCGGTGTGTACCTGCGCGTGCGCGGCGCTTCCTTCCCTCTCCCCCCCGCCTCCCTTGCGCATGCGCGCTGCGGGCGGCGCTTCCAGGCGCGGGGCTCAAGGCAGCGGCGYGGGGAGGTCGCGGGAGGCGCCTGGGGCTTCTGCGCATGCGCGACGCGGGAGTCGCGTGGCTCTGCGCGCGCAGCCGTGACGGGCTGGGCGCTCCCCCCCGCCCCCCAGGAAGTAAATGAGGGCCTGGAAATGGCCGGCCGCGAGGCAGCGGAGATCCAGGTGTCCGAGCTGGAGCTGCTCTCTAGCATGTTCCCCTACGAGGAGGAGTTCGCTGTGACCGACCAGCTGGCCGTGGCAGAACTGAAGCACTACGTGGAGAGCCTGTCTGCGGAGGTGCCGGCTTCCAGAGCGCGGTTTGTGCTGAATGTAAAGGCAGAAGGCCCCGGTGCCTCCATGGTAAACAAGCAAAGACTCGCAAACAGTCAGTATTGTGGGAGCTCAGGTCGGATTTCAGGGCTGCCTTCAACTTCTGATCCTTTGTTTCCAGGTGGAGTTCTCTATGTGCTGTGCTCTGCCATTTAAATACCCAGCTGTTCCACCAGAAATCACTGTGAGGTATGACATTAAAATACAATCAGTACAATTAAATACAAATCATAAAAATGTTTAAAAGCTACAGTATAATACAGAAATAGGTACAAAAGCAAAACCAGTATGTTTTTTTTTCATGGTGTACAGTCAAACTTAGCCAGGCAGTGATGGCAGAATAAAAGCAAATTTGTAAGGATATGATTTCTCTAGTGCCTTGAACATACAGGTTAAAAAAATGGGAAAAGAATGGMGAAGTTCCTGATCCTGTACAGAGTGGTCACGTAAAGATGCCATTCATACCTCTAATGCTGAGGGACTGTTACCTGGTTTAACATGGCCAACCTTGAAGGAGTAAAAGGTTGCTCAGTAGCCTTGTTCTTCCCTTATCACAGTACTGTTACTCCCTGACTACTGTTACTTTTACTGGAATGTTTTTATTATGTATATTTTAGGAAATTACAGATTGATAGCACTATGTGCGGACTAAACAACACACTAGTTTAATGTTAGGATCTTTTTATAACTAATATGACTTAAGTATCAGCAGTGAGTAAAAACCATCTAAATATGCCTGTAGTGTTTTGTTTGTTTTTTTAAGAAGTTTGAAGTAAAACTGAAAAACATGCTGAAATGTAAGCAAACTGCCRCTGCATCTTTGTTTTTCTCTAGGTCATCACTACTAAACCGCTCTCAGCAGATTCACCTGAACTCTGATCTAAAAACATACTTGCWGCAAAACTGCAGCGGTGAGCCTTGCATGTTGAGTGCAAGGCAATGGGTTAAAGATCATGCAGTTGCTTACATTGACAGAGAGCTTTTATCTTCCTCGGTGACGACATCAGATGCGGTGCAGGCAGAAGACATCATTTTCACTAGATTATGGATCTACAGTCATCATATCTACAACAAGCAAAAAAGAAAGAATATTATTGATTGGGCCAAGGAGCTCTCTCTCTCAGGGTTTTGCATGCCTGGGAAACCAGGTGTTGTTTGTGTAGAAGGTCTGCAGAACAGCTGTGAAGAGTTCTGGTCAAGGTTAGTTTTTCACTGTATTTAAGTACCGTTAATGGTTATAATATTATGGGGTGGATTTGTTTGTTTGTTTGGTGTTATGTAGCCAGAAGGTGGAAAACTCATCCCACCTTCCAACCTCCTGTCTGTGGAGGATTTGTCCTTGTCAGAGTGTGTTTACAACTCTAATAAGCCACTCTACTGCTGGCTACAATGATAGAAGTTGCTAATACAGAGGCCACGTTCTTTTGTTTTCTCTGGTTTTAAGCGTGTAGCTGTTGTACTCTAATCTTTTTACATGCATATATTTTTATATTGTTTTATGTTCATATCTTATTCTGCTTTCATAACTCATGTTTTTGAATAACGCAAACTAAATGAACATTACTATTTGAAAATACCAGTTRTTTTTCATACTCTTTTGTGATACCTTCTAAAACTGTCTGCATTGTACAGCTACATCTCTATTTCTGCTTTTGCTTTCAGAATTAGAAGATTAACGTGGAAGAGAATTTTAATTCGTCACAGAGAAGATGTTTCTTTGAAAGGTGGAACATGTGATGAGATTCAGAAACTAAGAAGATTCTCCACTTTGGAAGAAAAGTGTTTTGACGCTCATGGTCCCAGAGGAAATCATATGGATTTGGGGCAGYTGTATCATTTTTTAGAAGAAAAAGGATGTGCTGATATTTTTCAAATGTACTTTGGAGTTGAAGGACATTAGATTGCTACAGGTGTAACTGCCTATGTTTGTTAATTAATCTTTAAAAGAGATTCCATAGYTTTTCTGAAACAGTTGATCAGCGAAGGGATTGGGAGTTTTTTCTTTTTAAGATGAATCCAGTTTTCCGTGAAAACGAATATTCAGTGAAATCTTGAATAATTAAAATCACTAAATAAATGCTTTACTGTAGCTTTAGATTTTAAAATTAAGAGTATGTACCTAATTTCCAAGCTAGAAAAAAAGTGTTTAATAAACTACTGGGCAGAATTCCAGATCATGGAATTAGAGCGAATAAAATATCTGCCTGTGAAGAGAGAAAAATGATCGTAGGCATCTCGGGAAAGGAATACTGTTGTTTATTTRTTACTCTATTTGCATACACTACATGAAGACTTTTAGTCATTTTTTCTCTTTCTGTCTGAAAGTATATYCTGTCATGATCAGGTTTATAAAAAATGGAAAAGAGGAGGGCAGCTTCACTAAGGTCTTAGTCATGTGTGTAGTTTCACTAGGAGCTAGGATACCTATTAACAGGATCAAAGGTTTTTCATATATGAAAATGTGTACAGGTAAGAAAGATACTGTGGTGCCTTCACTACATTTGCAGCTGAGGAGTCCAGTGTGATGTTTACTCATGTTATAGTAGAAGCTTATCTAGGATCAGGTTCCTTCACAGTACACTCCAAAACAGCAAAACCGTCCTTACCCTACTGCATTTACAAATATGCAGTGTTTTAAAGTGTTAATTTAATGCTACACATTTTTGAGTCTGATTTCAACAAGTTCATATCCAAGATATGAAGGCTATTTATTTGTTTGTTTCTGTGCTTATGGTTTCTGTATCTAAATCATGTACATATTGTAAAATGCAGACGCTGGTTATTACTGATGTTAATATTGCTGTGTAAACAGTAAACTTCTTACCTTTCAAATTTCAGGTGTGSGCTGTGTGAGACACCCCTTGCAATGTCATTCTGCAGTGATTCCATTCACCAAGTGCAGTATTGCTTTACCTGAACTTTGCAGGAATAATGCAGATTAAGTGAAAGGACCTAAGCCATGCTCGAAACCTTGCTACTTTAAGACATACTGATAGAAATCAAGTTCAAAGATATYGCAGATAATTTTAATGCCGTATTTCTCATACAAAATAAATGCCTTTTTTGTATTCTATCATTAATTGATAAATTCTTATAGGATTTTTTTTTTTAAAAAAGGGAGTAGACTTGTAAAAATATGTTGAAAATAAACCCAGCTCTGCCTGCTCCTTTGTAAGGTAAACATGTCTGTGCCTCGAGCATCCTGGAGAGAGCTGGCACCACAGGCAGACCGAAGCCTTTCCTGGCTTGTTACTATCGACACCCGCGTTTGCAGGGAGATGCCTTCCCGCCAAAACCACCGTGGCAGTGCTTTCATCTGCCCCCTCCGGGTCCTCCGCCYCTCGGGGTGATTTCACGCTTTCCCCCTGCCTCGCACCGGCCTCCGCTCCCGGCGGGAGTCACCGGGATCCCGCGCAGCCCYTTCCCGCCGCGGGGTTGACCAGCTGTCCCAGCGCCGAGGGCGGCGTCTGCGCCTGCGCGGGCGCTGCTGCGCAGCTGGCCCCTCCCTCCCTGCCTCCGTCCCGGAAGTGCGGCGGGCCGGGAGGCGCTGCCGGGCCCCGCGCGCCCCTCGGCGCCATCATGGGCGGCAAGAACAAGCAGCGCACCAAGGGCAACGTGCGGGTGAGCGCTAGCGGCGGGCGGGCCGGCCGGCGCCCCGGCCCCGGCCCCGGCCCCGGCCCCGGCGGGAGAGAGGCGGCCGCCACGCCTGGGCCTCCGCCGCCGCCTCTTCGGGCCGGGCCCTCCTGGCGCCGGGTGGCGAGGCCAGGCCTCGGGTGGCGGCCCGCAGCCGTGGCTCCGCTACGAATAATAATTAGAAAATAAAATAAAAAGAGTGAGGGTGGTTTCCTTTCGCGGTGGGGGGTTATAAGGTTTTTCCAGAGACCTGGGCGGGTAGGAAAGTGCCATTGCCAAATCGCAGGGGTGCAAGTTCAACTGTTTATTTTTAAGTACAGTAAGCGTGATTGTCTGTATCGAGCCCGATGATGCAGCTGTTGTGGTGTTCCTGCTTTACGTGCCTTCTGAGTGCTCACACATGGCGTCCTCTCAGTAAAGGAGAATTTTGTGTGAAACACACGTGTGGAGAATACCTACTCTCACCTTTCTTCCCCTCCGTATGTCTGGAGGTGTTTAGGGAACACAGTGAAGCATGTCTGTATACTGAAAATTTCTTAAGCGCAAAAAATAGTTCAAAAGTACAGTGGTTATATAAATTCTGACTTAGTAATTTTTTATTCCTAGTGACAGTTGCCCATTTTTTTTTCTCTCTTGTTTAGTATTGATAGTTTGCCAAGGTTTATTTCACTCTTTTGAGTTTTTGAGGTGTCAGGACCCAGGGAATATTACAGAAAAGCCTGAAGCATCAGCCAGTTTTGAGACATACTCCTCTAAGCAGTGGCCATGAAATGTGGAGCCGCTTGTGTGATTAGCCCAGTGTTGATTTGACTGGGACAAGCTGTATGAGGTGCTGAGCTCCAAAACACTCGCTTTAATACTAGTGTGATAGTGCTGAGTTATATCTTGCTCTGTTATTCTGTATGTTGGTAGCATCTCTTTGTGATGGTGTTTCTCTCTCCCACCTCTCTCCCACCTCTCCATTTTTTCCCCCRTCTCCTCCAACGTTAATGCACACGCCTTGGAAGCTATACCAGTTTGTATGCAGTGACGTGGAAAGAGCTGAAGGGAAGAAAAGTAGTGAAGGAGGGTAAATGGTTTCTTAGATARGTTGTTCATGTGCAGAAGTATGGCCTTACTATGCTTTTTCATATGTATGTAAAAACAGTGCCATTTTGCATAAGTATTCACAGACTAAAATGGAATGAGAAAATGGAATGCCAATTCAAAATAATTTAAAATATTTTTTTTCAGGTCAAACTTCTATGTTTTAAGTGTAGGTAGCCTTTTTGGAAAGTTTTTGTTTTAAATATAACATTAATTRTACAATATAAATAAATTCAGTTGTTTCAAATGCATGAAAAAGAATAAAGTAGTTTAAAGCGACCAAAATAAATAATGTCTCTATTTTTCAATCAGCCTTCTAGTAGTGGTCGAGCAGCAGAGCTCCTTGCCAAAGAGCGTGGAACGGTGCCTGGGTTTATAGGCTTTGGGACCTCTCAGAGTGATCTTGGATACGTTCCTGCAGTTCAAGGAGCAGAGGAGATAGACAGCCTTGTGGATGCRGATTTTCGAATGGTCCTGCGAAAACTCTCAAAAAGGGACGTCACAACAAAACTAAAAGTAGGTAAATCCTCTGTCCTCTGTACGTTTTTTTAATGGAAGAACAATGCATACATTTTTCTCAATAGTGGGAGAGTAATGTGTTGAAGTAGCCAGTTCATTGCAGTAAATTTGCTAGAATAAACCAGTTTTTTTTTGGCTTGTATGTTTACATGTTACATAAACCACTTATGAATGTGTGTGATTGACGGGGTATCTTGGAGGACTTATGAAATGGTTCCTCAGCAGAGCAGTCATAAAGAATCTCTAAAAGATGTATTGCATCCTACTAAGTTAGAAGAAATGATTTGTTGAAAATTAAAATGGCAGTCTGTTGTAAACAGAATGCACCTGCCTGGCATTTCTTAAGCCTTTTTTTTTTTTTTTTTTTTTTTTTTTTTTTTTTTTTTTTGATTGTAGGCTATGCAAGAATTTGGGACAATGTGCAAGGAAAGAGAAGCAGAAGTTGTTAAGGGTGTACTTCCTTATTGGCCAAGAATTTATTGTAAAATCTCACTAGTAAGTATTAAGATATAAAAATTTAGACTCTTTGGACTACTTTCTGTGAAAATCCTTAAGGCAGTAGTATTGATATATTTAGCTCTATTTTTGTTGAGTGTCCTGTCTTATTCTACAAAAAAAAGATTCAGGTTGATAGAAAATAACATTCCTTGTAGTTAATATGTTTCAGTGTACTATGGGTTTTTCTGGGAAAAAACAGAATTGTTGATACCTGAACTGTATTTTAGGGATGGGTATAGCTGCTTGTTAGAGCTTTGTTAATAAAAGCATGATAGAACTTTTTCAAAACAGGTTTTTATATATATATTGTGTGTGTATACATATATATATATATATGGAGAGAGAGCGTGTTCATGAAGCAGAAACTGTTTAGTTAACATAATTATAAGCATTCTTGAGGAAGGGCTAATAGCTGTCCATGCTGATTATTAAAATAAATAAAAGTATATGTAGCCAGATAACCCATAATATTCCGACCTGGTGTTTTAACACGTACCCAAAATATCTCAGCAGGCATCCTCCTGTTGCAGACAGGATATTGGATGAAACGAATCGCTCTTCTGATCCATTAGAGCCATTCCTCATATGTTCTTTAGGAGCCAGGAGCGTAAAAAGTCATGATGCTGTAAATTCATTCACAAATAATTGAAGGTGGCAAATAAGTGATTTGTATAGGCTTCTGGATATTCAGATATTCTCACTTCTATTGGTCCCATTTCTTACCAATATTAAAAGACAGCTGTAGTTAGGGATATCAGCAAAGAGCTACAGTTTTGGATGTGTCACGCGTATGGAGATGCTGATTTAGGACCTTTCCCTGTATTTGGGGATGACCCTGAAAAACACTCATTTTTCATTTTTCTGCATATTTTCAAATCTCCCTAGCCTGATTTGTTGTAAAGATGCCTGTACCGTGAGAGAACTTTTCTCTTTATTTGGAAGATATGAGGATGTAAAGATACACTAAAAGAATTCTTGCTTTGCAATATTTGGCATCAAGTAATACCCTTCTTGAGACAATAAAACCTTCTTTGCCTTTTTAAACAGGATCATGATCGCCGTGTCCGAGAAGCAACTCAGCAGTCCTTTGAGCAACTGATTCTTAAAGTAAAGAAGCACTTGGCTCCTTACTTAAAAAGTATCATGGGGTATTGGCTGATTGCTCAATGTGACATTTACTCGCCTGCCGCTTCTGCAGCAAAAGTAGCTTTTGAAAAAGCTTTTCCTTCAAGCAAGCAACCGGAAGCCTTAGCTTTCTGTAAAGATGAAATTCTCAATGTGAGTTTATGTGTCTAAACTTGGTCATTATTTTTGTCCTGCTTTGTGCAAGTCCCGCTTATTTTGTCCTGCTTTGTATCACTTTTTAATACAATTTGAAGACTCATCCTGTCCCTAACCTATTCCT